AGGGTAGTCACGTCCCAACAAAATCTCTAAACAAGGGTTACAGTTGTCAAACTCCTAGACGAGGGTTAAAGCTATATCTCACTCCTGGATATGTTTAATAAAGTTGTTTTTCTCCAATATAAGTGTTAAGATGTTCCACCCCGAGACAAGCGTTAAAGTAGTAACATGCCAAAACAAGGGTTATAGTTACTAAACTCCTAGATGGACCAAGGGTAGCAACACCTCACCAACATCTCAAAACAAGGGTTAAAGTTGCCACATTCCTAGAGTTAAAGATGACTCACTCCAGGACAAGCAACATCTCACCAACTCGAGACAAGGGTTAAGGTTACCACAACACTCCTTGACGGGGGTTAAAGATGACTCACTCCAGGACAAGGGTAGCAATATATCACTAACATCTCGAGACAAGGGTTCAAGTTACAGTTACCGGACTCCTAGCTGGGATTAAACTTAGCTCGCCCTAGGGTTAAAGTTGTCCCATTCCAGGTACAGGGGTTAATGTAGCGCCACTCCAGAATAAGGTTAAGTTGTGTCCTTTCGGGTACAAGGATTAAAGTTATGCCACTCGAGATACAAGGGTTAATGTAACAACACCCCAAAATAAAGATTAAAGTTGTCATCTTCACACTTTTTAAAGAGATTTCGAAATCTTTCGGACTACACGGTGTACCTTTATGGTATCAATATTAAATCTTTCAATAAAATCAGTTCAGATTTTAAAAACAGATGTACTACACGTTGTTGATTTGATGGGTGTGATAATCTAAATCTAAACAAAAACCCATCGCTATATGTTTTATTTAGGTATCGAGTACCAAAATGAAATAAAACGAACGTCTTGAACTCATTGCAGACCCGCCTAGGTGTATCTTGTTATAAACATAAACACTCCTTGGGACATCAGAATAGAATATGTGAGGTCAATTATATCTAAGGTTTATCTACATAATATATGTATTTATACAGTCCTTAAGGTCATATAACCATTGAACTTTATTGATGGAGGCGTCAAATACATTACATCTTGTTATTATGGTATTAAGGGATTCGGCCATTTTGTAAACAAAGATTCTTAACGTGACATAGTTAAAAGAATGTAAATACGTAGTAATAAATCCGAAGGTCCAGCCTAATCAAAGATAACAGCCCATAAAACGAAAGACAAGTGTAGAAGGGAAATAATGAAAATAGTAATATTGAAGAAGTGTCAGGGATCCCGAAAGAATTGGGGATACTCTGCCCCGAATACGACACTTATCTCTTACATAGCGGATGTGAGGCTTAATGTGTTTATGTTCATGAAAAGAAGAATCCTATTGATTTGGAATTGATTTATCGGTGCATACTTGAGTAATATACGTGTTACTCTTGTTCGCTTTTAGTGTCTTGTATACCCCCCCACCCCCCAAAGCCCATTGCCTACAAATGGTCGAATGACTTAGCTGCCGCGGGCGTATATTTCGATGCATGGCAACCATTCTTCAATATGGATAATATAATGGTAATGGTGGTTAAATATTAGTTATATATTTTCAACTTGTAGCATCTTTGCTTTTGATCAAATAACCCCCACGAGCCCTTGTATAGTTCCTTGTGGGCGTCACTATATTTTCTATTAAACATACACTATGCAAGACTTAAATCTGCCTATTGTGGGTCTTTCTTTAGGCTTCAAATGTTATCTATATTATTAATTAGACATTAATGAACTTATCCTGACCATAATCAACTCTCGATGCCATCGCTAGCCTGCGATATTTAGCGGATTGGAATACATTTTTTGAAAAATAATTAAACGTAAAACTGGATAATCGAGACCTGGGTTTCTATAGTAATGATGATCGAGGCTAGCCTAAAATTCAAAAACTAATATCTCGGTTCCGAGTGTAGCAATTTCAATGAAATTTTCAGCATATTCTATTTACGTTATCTATTTTTTTAACTATTATAGTGAGAACTATCAACTCTTTATCTAATCTCTCATAATGCCCCATTAATCAAAATTTCCCCAAGCCAAATGAGATTGTTTGCAGACCGTAGTGTAGTTTCTTTTAATACTTTACTGAAATTGAAATTTATCTACGATCAAAAAGGTCATCCATTAATATTGCTCAGATTTAAAAACTGCTGTCGGTTCTTCTTTGAAATAAGAAATGGGTTCTCTTTATATCATTTCTGCGAAATGCTATTAGATTGATATTTCGTAATTTTAAAATCTTTATAATTTTTTTTCAAAATAATAATATTCTATAGAATAAAGAATAACATACCGTCTATTTGTAATCAAAGAATGTTTCTATTTCGACACTGTCTTGACAGGATGTTCGCCTACGTAAGTGTTTTTTAAAATTCATTTATGAAATTAATAAAGGAGATTCTCTTGTAAATGTTATTGTATCAAAATAAGTACATTTTTTGTCAGCTGCGTTTACGTGGGAGTATTATGATGGTAGAAAATATAATGCCACTTCATATTTGAGTTCACATAATTAACAAATATTGGTTTTACTTTGTATCTAAGCTGTGCCATTGTTTATAATCTGGCTTTCCAATAGTTTAATGTCACAGACAGACCAATTTCCCAATTTTCGTTAATGTTGCCAAAGTAACATTTATTCTTGTTGTCAATACTGTCCGACTCTTATCCGGTTCCATGTATTTTTCCCGGTAGTCTAGTCTCAATGGCTCCAGCCTACAAATATCTGTCTGGGCGAATTAATGTGAATCGTGAATATAGTAATCAGTTATCTGGCTGTTCGAGTATACAGCTTATCTAGGGAATATTGTCTCGATCTACCGGTTCACACTGCATCTGCCATGCTTCTATCACAGCCACGAGAATGACTAAAGATCAACTGAATGTCGTGCACTTATGTAATATTATTATATGATTTTAAATTTCTTATCGTACATTTATTACATAAACATCGGTAGGGGATTCCTGGTGTGTTAGGACTGCTCGTTTAAAGCTGTATAGAATTTGACCTGTTTGAGACATCAGAAGAAACAGGGAATAATTGAGATGGGATTAGATGTCTTAAAGGCGAACTGTTCATTACACGTCTGTAGAATTGACCTTTACACCAAAGCTTTCGTTTATAAAAAATTATATCCCCGGGTAAAATAAAGGGATAACTGGAGAGAGAAAATCGAACTTTTATTGACGACACTTTCAAAAGTTTTGAAATAAACATGACAAAGAAATCGATAACAGAAGTCCAGAATCAGCTACTTTAACCCTCGGGTAGGCGAAATTTACCACCTGGTACTTAATTTACCCAATATTGGGAAATTAGATATAATGCGGGTTATCGTTCTACTGTTCTGCTCCGATTGGCTAATGAAGATGGGCATACGCCATACAGTGTGCTATGAGGGAAACATTTTCCCGGATAGTGGCGCTACGGGCTACTCTTATATCGAATTCCAACTGCCAAGCGATCTTTTACGTTCACACCAATGTGTATACGGAACCTCGATTTTTCGTACAATCTGGACGACTTTCAGTTGTACCTTGCCAGGCCCTCCGTCCTGCACCTAATGCTGGGAACCCTGGTCATAGAAAGATTTGCAAAACCAGTGCAGCCAAAAAGGTTCGCTCGAGATTTACCATTCAGATTAGTTACGATGCATCATTTAGTATCAATTTTATGAGTCTAAATATTTACATAATGTTTTTAACTGTCGTGTACTTCAAATTTTTGACATTTGTCAAACAAATCCAATTTTGGCACTGTTTACAAAACAACAATAAGAAGAAACCAAATCAAATATGAAGAGACATTTGCATGTTGACAATTGCGGTTTATCGACATAGAAATATTTAAAGTGATTTACCCTTTAACCAATGCATTTATAAGTATGCTTTTACTAAACCTCTTTAAGATTTGGGTATTTAAGCTTATTCATTCAAAATTGTACTGTACCCAAATTTTTGGAGATTTGTGGAAAAATGTCGGCGGAAATAGACGTTATGAGCGGCAGTTGGATAAATATGCACATTTTTATTGGATTATTTCGGATAATAACGGATAAGAGAAAGACGCTCACAGATTCTCAACGATTTCCGAAGTTATGACCCTTAATAGTTTACAGGGCAGAGTCGACAGTAATTCGAATCGTCAGGGAATTTTAACAGGTTGTTTGCAAGAATACTTCAACAGTTTCAATTAATATCAAAATCTAGCAAAGGCTAAATATAGCTTGATGTTATTCTTCTCTTGTGTATTAATTAGTTTGGTCATTCCATTTACATCAAAGGGGTGGGGGGTGCAAATGGTTAACGCGTTGGATCATAAGGTCTGTCATTGAGTCAAGTGGCGTGGTTTTGATTCATCGCTTGTACGTGACAAGGAGTAGGGTCGCCTGTCCCATTGCTAAAGATCCCTACGCGCAAGGGAATTATGGAAATAAAATTGAACCATATGTTAGTTTCGAAATGCCCCCCCCCCCTCTCTCTCTCTCCCTCTCTCTCTCTGAGACTCTCTCCATTTACATCTAAAAACATGTTTTAGATAGGTGGTTTCTGGGCTATTGTTGTTATTGTTTACAATTTTAACGTTCAATAAATTACACATTGATTTATTATTACGAATTACATACGAAGGAGACATAAAAAGGTAAACACATAAAACTTTACTGGACAGTCAATCGAGTATCTTTGTATCGCAGGATTTGATTGGCGTTGATCTAGAAAATATCACTCACAATGTGCTTTACTAAATGTGGAAGTGGATTAAACAACCGAAAGGAAAAACGAAACGAAATGTTGGTTTAATTTGAATAAACTCTAGGAATTACATCCTTTGACATCTCGAACATCCCAGGCGGAATAATTCTGAATTTGACGAAATCTGTTAAGCTATTGATTTTGGTTAGCATTAATGAATCATTGACTGATTTTAAGAGAAAAACTCATTATAATAGTTTGAAACTTCTGGTGGACACATTGTTCCATTGTCTATGGTAACGTATATTTATTTACCTCTATATTTCAGCTTTAAAGACAAATAATATGATGGTGAAGATGCAGATATTTGAACTGTTATCAGCTTTATGTTTATATTCTACAGATGGGTTTTATCTTACTCTAGAAGCTCTAGATCGATATAAGGTATATTTCATTCCAAATTATATTGTTCTTAAAGATCTATTCGGATATATATTTCCCGCATAGCACACTGCGTGGCGTATACCAATATTCATTGGTGCAGAATAGTAGGAGGTTAAGCCCCGTTTCATTTTATTTTTGTAAAACTATAATAAATATCTTTAGTGAGAGAGAGAGAGAGAAATGGGGTTTAACGTCCACTCGACACAAACTAGATCATTTCGGGACTATCACATGGTTCAATTTTATTTCAATAATTCACTTGCGCGTAGGGGTCTTTAGCAGTGGGAGGAAACCGGAGGACCCGGAGAAAACCCACGAGGTTGGAAATATCTTTAGTGACAATCTGTGTATATATAGTTCATACTATATACGATGTCCAGTCATCTATTTAGGTTAGTTTATTTTCATATTTTTCATTTAAGGAATACCCTAAGGGCTCTTGATCAAATACTGTCTGTTAATTACAAAACACGATTTTATTTGTTTAGTTAATTAATTGCATCAATCACGTTTTGGTAGCAAACATAGTATAAGGTATGCAATTACAAATATATTTATTCTAAACTCTATATGTAAAAGGATCTAAACAAAATACCACATTATGAGGAGGAATGGGGTTTAAAGGAGTATAATTTAAATCTGGAGATGACGAAATTGATCGTGTGGGTAGCATGTTATCGATAAGCTAACGTATATTTATAGAAACTAAGACCCCGATACGGCTCTTTTTAAAAAATTCAATAACAGGTTTATTCTGAATTCAGCAAGTTTAACCCACTCTTAGCGCGTTTACATAATTTAATCTAGTAAATACGTTTACAAACTTCATGTTACCGGTACAAATGTAATGGCGGAAATCGATGTGGAATTTTGTTTCAAATATTTATATTGTAATCAAAATTCATGAAAACGAATGAAATCATGGCTATAACTAAACATTCCATGTTGACGTTCAATGTTATCATTTTCGATTTTCGTATATTGCATATTGGCTTTTTCTACCACGTCCCGTATCAATAGTTTATAATTTAATAGAACGCCCCTTTATATTATTCTAACACTATTATTTGATTATTTGTTTTTAGTTCAGTTTCATTAATCTAATAATTGAAAATCCAGAAAAAAGTTAAAACTTAACAATGAGAATTATTCCGAAACAAAATGTCTTCCTCAAAATGTGCGATGTGCCAATAAACAGTTTCCTTAATGCTAGCTTCCCACTATTACGATTGAAATCGTGGTTTTAATCGTGGTGATCTTGTCAGGTCTTATCATATACTATTCAAAAAAAGTAGGGGATATTTGATTTTTAAGTGTTATTAAAGTCACCTAATGAAACTGACGAAGAAACAAATGACAAAATGAAATGAAGTTCACATTCATCGATTTATTCCAAATGATCGTTAGACTAAGTAAGGCACAGACTGACCATTATAAGGGTAAAATGATACCCGGGGTCAAACAGCAAAGTTACCACAGCATCACAACCAAGTCAGTAACGGGTAAATCCTCCTCTGTTTGCCAAACAAGCATTGATCCGACGTGGCATACTCCTAATGAGACGTCTAAGGTCATTTTCGTCCAGATTGTCCCATTCCTGTTGCAACGCAGCAGCAAGTTCTTGGACATTGGCAGGACGTTGTTGACGTTGACGTAACCTCTGTCCAAGCATGTCCCAGACATGCTCGATGGGGGAGAGGTCGGGACTCAGTGCTGGCCAAGGTAATGTGGTGATGTTCTGTTGTTGGAGGTAACCTGTAACGATCCTGGCCCTGTGACATCTTGCGTTGTCATCCTGGAAGATGAAAAGGCGGCCATGACGTCGTGCGAACGGCACAACATGGACTGCCAAGATGTTGTCCCGGTAGTACTGGCCTGTAACACGCCCTGCAACAACATGTAAAGCCGTTCTTCCAGCAACAGTGATGCCTCCCCACACCATAACAGAACCACCCCCAAATCGATCATGTCTGATGACGTTAACGTCTTGGAAGCGCTCGTTTCGACGACGTCACACCCTCCTACGTCTGTCCAAAAAATCAACAGTGAACCTTGACTCATCTGAAAACATCACATTGCTCCAGCGTCGATTACCCCAGTGTTGACGATCCCTACACCAACGACGTCTTGCCTGAATGTGATGATCTCTCAAACAAGGGATCACGCGAGGACGTCGGGCGCGAAGGTGACCCCTATGCAGTCGATTCCGAATCGTCTGGCCACTCACTCTCACACCAGTGTCTGTTTGAAGACGAGCGCTGATCTGATTTGCTGTGATGACACGATTTCTCAAGGCCAAGGTACGGATAAATCGATCCTGGGCTTGAGTTGTCGCCCTTGGTCGACCTGAGCGTGGTCTGTCCTGTACAGATTGTGTATCACGGTATCTGGACCCTAGCCTGCTTATGACAGACTGAGAAACATTCATCGTCCGCGCCACAACCGCCTGTGTTGTGCCGATCTGTAGCATGCCAAGGGCACGTAACCTTTCATTTTGGGTAAGCCGACGCATATCAAAATTTGTTTTCTGGTCACTAAAACAATTAAACTGATGTTTCCACCCTGGAATTCAATGCCACAATGACTGTAACATTCAAAGTCAGAGTCGTGCAAATCTTGGGTTGGACCCCCATGATGATCCCAAGCATCACCTGCATTCCATGCGGTAGCTATTGGTGCGTTTGGGCGTCACATGTAACTGGAAATGTTTCTTCTGTTAGGTTCTATAGTGACTTTTTTCGTAGTCATTTGCATATTTTAGTATTATGCCCCCAAAATCAAATATCCCCTACTTTTTTTGAATAGTATATATTGAGGCCAGTCGTGGCAATCGTGTTGATAGAATCGAAACATATCCAAACGTACCGGATCGTGGACTCAATAGGGATAATCCTATTGTAACGCGTCGCACGACACTGGGAACCTAGCATAACAAACAATAAAAGCCGTAAATTAGATAGTAATTTAGGGTTATATAGAAATGAATTATCCTTCAGTCATCAACTAACCTCTATAAGAGCAAAAGAATAATTTTAACTGTCACCCGATCCAATATTGTTACCGCCCAGAAGGGGATAATATTAACGAAATAAATCGGCCTACGAGGTAAATGACAACCCGTTTTTACCGTTCGGTAAATTTATGACCTCCATTTTCTTTTTGTGGACTTATCTCGACTGTCCCTTAATTTAATGTTTCTGTGTGCGTGGTGGATCTATGATTCGTTATAGTTAGGGTTAGGACCTTATTTTCCCAATGTGGAGGTCATAAAATTATCGAACGGTAAAATTGGGTTGCCGTTTACCTCATTGTCGACCGATTTATTTTGTTGTTATTATTATCCCCTTCTGTAACGATATTGGATCGGGTGACATAATACGCGCCAGAATAGGTTTGAAATGGGGTTTTCAATATCAACCGGGAAAATGTAAATATCACAAGTGACATTTAACTTTTTTGTTCATGAATGCAATCATTAAAATCTAACAGCATTTCGACATTTCTTTTCCTAACGATGTCAAGCTAACCACACTAACATTTAGTAGGCGAAATAAATCTAACAACTAGGTCAAATCAATTACTAAATATTTTAACGACCACCAAGAGAAAACAATTTCTTACCAGATGGATGAAGTAGAGCACGTTAAGAGAAAAAAATGCAAGTCACGTTCAGCAATAACATGAAATCTAAATCATTAACGTAAAATGTCTATTTTATGTTGAGAACATATAAACTGTTACATGTTCGAAAAATGAAATTAGTTTAGCAAAGTCAAATGAATAAATGAATGGAATGACGTTTAACTTTTACTTTTCTGCACCTACCGGGATAATGAAGACGCGCATACGCCATATACATGTAGTGTGCTATGAGGGAAATTTTGCCCGGACAGTACCGCTACGGCCTACCCTTATTACAAATTCTAACAGTTCGTTTACGTACACGTCAAGCGTTGTACACGCCAACGTATACACGGTATCTAGGTTTTTCGTCCAATCCGAACGAAAATACACTGTTCTGTTGCCAAACCCCCGTCCTGCGCCACTGACAAGGAGGAACCACGCTAGAAAATTTCTCGACCAACACTGAGATCGATCCTGGGACATCTTTAGCCAGCGCCTCACTTCTGATCTCTTTCAACAGTGGCTTTCTTTTGTTGTGGGAGCCATGGTGACTAAGTAAGTTGAGCCACGGTGGCTAAGTGAGTAAGACGCTGACTCGTTTGCCTAGAGGTCGCGGGTTCGTTCCCGGTGTTGGCCGAGAAAGTTCATCGGGATTTTCCGGCGTGGTTTCCCCTTGTCAATGTTGCTTGACGACAACCCTGACGAGGACAGCTGTCTAGTCGTTCGGATGGTACGATAAATCGAGGTCCCGTGTACACATTGGTGTGTACGTAAAAGCTCCTTTGGTAGTTGGAGTTCGATATAAGAGTATACTGTAGCGCCACTGTGCAGGCAAAATTTCCCTCATAGCCCATTTTCGTTAGCCCAGAAGGAGCAGAACAATGCGACGTTAAACCCCATTTCATTTCATTTCCATTCGTTGTGATATCCTTCTGCCCAAACTCCAATGTCTTGTTGGTGGGGTTTATTTCTCAAGAAACTCCGGTAACTAGTCAGTAGCTACTATTAATATCTAGAAAGAAACATTTTTATTTATCAACGCCAGAGGTAATCATAATAACCAAGATCGTTGGACTTATTTTCATAATAATAGCTAAACGCCTATTAAAAACGGAACTTTTATTGTTTAAGCGCCACCTAGTAATTTGAGCACTTTAAGTAAATCACAACACTGGTATGAATGACAATTACTCAATTTTAGTCTGAGTTACTTTTCTCTAACGTGCCTCTTGACATTATCAAGCACAACGAGGACTTATACGGTTAAGTCTTTTTAAGTAGCAAGTCGCAAATTGAAATGGGAACCTATTATTCCTTCAAAAAATAAACAGTATATTATGAGTTGCCTGAACTCCCGTATCGTCATACGACTATATATTGATACTCATGTGTCTGTATTGAAGTGTGGTATACGTGCTCTAGCTTTCAAATATTTTTCTAACCTACCTGTGTTATAACAACAGTCTATTGTATATATTTCTTTAATAGATATTTCATACCTTTACTTTGACAGGTGTGGCAGAAGTTACCGTATAGATTTAGTATAATGGTGACGGAGTTAAAACAAGCTGACCTCACATCATTCAAAATAGCATTAATGGCGCTCATCAATTCTATTATTGTAGCCAATGAAAATATACATAATAGAATCCGAATAAGGAATGAATTTGTGGGTAAGTAAGGTGTGATTTGACCAAACATGATGCAATCTATATTAAGCTAAATAATATAGTACAAAACTTCCACACGGATTACACACCAGACACATTTAATGTAACATACGTATTTTGCTCAGGGAATTCCCTACAAATTACCAACGCAGATTCTAAAGCGATTTCACATGTCATGTATTTCAGTTGCAAAGTTAATTCACGCAGATTCCACAGAGGTTAACTTTTTAATATTGTACATAGATTACCCATTCACCCATATTCCACAGAGATTACCCATTCACCTCAGTTCCAAAGAGATTACATATACCCATACACTGCCCTTGTACTTTGATGATTATAGATTATTAAGGAATAACCCAGTCCCCGGGTCCGTTTCGGTACAACCACCCCAAAACACCCCAACTCCAATCCTGGCGACATTCTTCTATTAAATCATCCGCAACGGTAAAATTATTAAATCGTTCCTTCACCAATATTATATGAATAGTATGTATTACATGTAATTACGCAGATGTTCGGATTGTTCATTATTCGATATACAAGGGAGTCAGTTCAAATATAAGTTGATGAACCAAATTGATCGGCAGCGACAAAATCGTAGCAGGCCCCACAGTGCATCTTATATTCTTACTTGTTCGGTTACAAAAACCTCTTGTTAATTATAGGGGTTAATATACTCAACGTCCTCGTGATTCCTTGAATTAAGCGTACATATACTATCACCTAATTGTCATTCTGCTACAAGTCCAAATTCGTATATGTGACACTGTCAAAAAATGTCTTAATAGCAATGGCTACGGGGAATTCGGTTTCTTTAATGTAGGTAAAACTGAACAATCACGGATATTTTAATTAAGCGGCTTAATTGGACATGCTGCCTCTGAATATCGTGAAGCTTTTTTTTTATAGTAATCGGAGCCTTCCTTAATTAAAACGTAAGTGGAGAAGAAATGACAGGAAATATTTGCGAATATTGCTGTTCAATTTTCCGCGACCCGATTTTTCAAATTCCAGAACGAAATCACAAAACAGATATAAGAAACTGCCTATAATGGTCTAATGTTAACCTATTGACCTGTATTACTGACGGCACAATTTAATATATAGATACGGTAGATACCATATGTTACTATCACGATACTTATACCATGGTAACTAAACATACCACTAAACTACTAGTATCTTTGCTTTTCTTATCAATGTGTTTTCATTAGGCAGTCCAACGTATTCACTCAGCGAAGAGGGTACGTTAGGCCCATGTATTCACACAGCGAAGAGGGTACGTTAGGCCCATGTATTCACTCAGCGAAGAGGGTACGTTAGGCCCATGTATTCACACATCGAAGAGGAACGTTAACAGGACCCCATGGACTACCCATTTCATTGTTGTTTGAGTACGGTCACATAAAACTTGGCATGCTTGTTCCTTGGACAATTGCACATCGATCAACGTATATGCTGTCACAATTCCAAGATGGCTGCGATGACGTCATAGTCGTTTCCGGGTCCATAGGATGCTCGTACTTGTTAGTTAAACAGTTTGCTTCCATTCGATGCCACTATGATTACACTTTCTACGTCATGGCAAATGTACAATATGTAAGTCAAAGATTTTTGGGTTTAAGGGCCTCGCTCATTTTCTTTTTTTTTCAATGGGATTAAAGATACGTGCAATTTAAGATACACTGGGTGACACAGCCAAAACATTATAAACAAAATGAATTCCTCTAACTTTTTCCCGTGCGGTCATTAATAATAGCCTCTATTTCGAAAATTATCATCTAGCCGGTTGTTGTCGTGGACGGTACCTCAATGAATTTTTATGAACATATATTATAAAATATATCTATTTTTATTTTATTGCCAGCTTTAAATATATTAGATGTAATACAAGGATTAAGAGATATAGATGATGAAGATCTACGAGTACAGTTGGACGTTTTTGATGAAGAATTGAATGCGGATGCCGAGGCTTTATCCGAACAAAATACGTCATCTGTAGATATTTCGAATCCACGTGATCTCTTTATGGCTCTTCTTAACAAGGTATTCGTCTTCAAATTTTCTCAAACTATAGACAGTTTCAAAAACGTACCCAGGTTTATGTGTTAGAACTAATAGTCAGGAATTTTAAGACTAAAGGGTTAGAATATTATACGTTTAAGCCACATAAGCCATTGGAACCCATTGTGGCTTTGTCCGGCTATGCCACCAGCATTTGACGCACAGAGCTGTCGTTGTTAGTACCATCGCCCCCACCCCCACCCCACAGACCTCCTTGATTTTGGTCAAATAAAATAAAAAAGATTTTCGAATAACATTGGATTTTACATGTTGATTTGTTTTCCGTGATGACAGACTATAGATAATTCCTGCCTTGAGATATTTAACCACATAGACACTACTCAATCACTTAATAACACATAAGATCAACCCAATTCAACATTTTATTTTGACACAATTCAATGAGGTATATTCCCTTTAAGTAAACTGGTTTATACAATTTAAAAGCAATAAATGGGATATGCCATATTATTATAAGTGATGTATTTTAAATGTCAGTTAAATGGGAAAACTTGTAAATTATTTTATAATATTGCCGTCTTCAATAGCCCAGCGGGGATTGGGTGACCGAATGGTTTATCACGTGCGCGCTAGATCATAAGGTCTGTCATTGGGTCTAGTGACAAGGAGTAGGGTCGCATGTTCAACCCCGTGGGTTTTCTCTCAGTCCTCTGCCCCCCCCCCCCCCCATAGCTAAAGACCTCTACGCGCAAGCAAATTATTGAAATAAAAATGAACCATATGTTAGTCCCGAAATAACTTATTTTACTCGAGTGGACGTTAAACCCCATTTCTCTCTCCTTCATTAGCCGAGTAGTAAAACGTTACCCCCATTTCATTTCATTTATAATATATTGAAGGTGTTTGTATTTTCAGTTTCAAGATACACCAATTGGAAGTTCATTATTAGGAATATTATACAGCTTATATCAGATAGATAGTAACAATTCTCACAGGTATGTTCAACTCAAGGGGAAATCCCGGTTTTCACCGTGTGATTAAAGTATGCAAACCAAACCGCAACATTTTCACATATAGACTATTTAATCAGCCTGAAAAATTCAGCTACAATTATTTTGCATTTAGTGGTCTGATAAATGTGACATTTCAATAACGTTTGTAAACGTCAGCATTATTCTGAAATTTTTGTATTTTTATGAAGGTGGGGCCTATAGGCGTCTGCCTGTGCCCCAGTCCAATTTCTGTGAATAAATATTGTTTAAATAAACACCCCGGACAAGTGGACGTTTGTATTTCTTTGAAAACATATCAAAGATTTTCAAAAAAAATTCATGGGACTAAACTATAGTGTTCTAAGAGTATTCCGCATACTAGTGTATTTACTGAAATATATCTGGCATTTCTGCTTTAAATGGGCAACATGACAGACGGCCAATAGCAATTTTCATTATTTATATTAAACAAAAATACGGGTTGAATATTAAGTATTAAATAAAAATATTAAATACGGTGGTGCATATTAGAAATAAATAATTAATTTTTATTTTAATCCAAAATTATTTATTAAAAGTCGTGTCTGCATATCTAATTACACTCTTTGTCGATGGCAAGATTATTTATAAAAGTTTTTACGAATTAATTTTGTTACAAAGGAAACTTACAAATAACTTCATTGTTGATGACAAATTACTTGTAATCCGGTTCCCACAAGCATAATCTATTGTAAATTCGCCCACACCGCCATATCCCGTGTCGTTTCTGTGAACATTTTATTTCGATGTTTCTAAAAATGACACAATGTATGGTTCTTGGATTACGTTACATAATTATTGACTCTACTGACATTTTAGTTATCATAGTGTCATGTTACACTGAAGTCATGTAGATTTAAATATAGATGTATGTCTAACTCTCCCTTAGCCATTTGGAGGTGCGAAGGACCAGTCAGATTTATTAACTATCGAAACATCTCATATTGATATGACTTATTGTCTTCACTTTTTTCTAGCCAGAAGATAACGATAAGGCAAATGTCAGTTTTCCGAACCATTTACGTTTCTGAGTGTTGGAGCATTTTCAGAGATTACCTGACTGAAACACCCCCTATTGTATATGCATTATTTCAATCGAAAGATTCAGTTTCCAGATATATATATTCCAAATCTTTTTCGAATTGTGGGTTGTGAACAAAATAATATCGTTTATCCATATTTAGAAATGTTGATATTGTATTAGGCTTATTGTTTGTGTATGCCGTGAAATAATGTAGACACGTCTTTAGGAATGTACAAGCTTCAGTCTTAACACAGTGTATAATATAAGCTACGTTCAGTAAATTCTCCAAAAAAGGGAAATTTGGAGACTAGGGAATCAAATAAAACAAAAGGCTGTATAATACGATACTATTATTTAGCCATCAAACAGACTAGGGAAAGAGCAAGAAACACCAGACTAACAGATGTAAGCTATTATCATTGTTCTTTTTATTAAAGTGAAGCAACGTGGATAAACATCGAACAAATGGTACAAAAGACTGTTGAACACCAGACTACACAAGAAACCTGTTACAGACAAAACAAACAAAGAGATAGTATTAATCAAGAAACTCAAACAGACCCCATAGAGTTATCTCCCGAGGGCAGATCCTCTTTGAGGCGAAAAAATGGGGTCATTGTCAAAAATTCACCAGCTGCGCCGCCACCTCCAGCCCCCCCTCCCCCTCCGCCAGCACCTGGGATCCCCCCGCCACCCCCTGGAATTCCGGGAGCGCCACCTCCCCCACCGCCACCAGGAGGGTTTAGAGCACCAGGGGCTCCTCCTCCACCACCAGGCCTAACGCTACCAGGATTAAGTGCAATACCTGTAGCTCCAGTAGAAGAAATAAAAACCCCAGAACCCCAGTGTAAGATGAAGATGCTAAACTGGAGTAAAGTACCAATACAGAATTTACGCAGTAAGTAGCCCAATGCTATTACTTTAATATCCAATCTCGTGGGATTTTTCCGCGTCCTCCGGTTTCCACCAACTGCTTAAGACCCCTACGCGCAAGCGAAAAAATTGAAACATATGTTAGTTCCGAGATGCCTATACACTCTTTCACTTCCTCAAGGTGTAGTCTTGAATGCCATATTAGCCTTATTGACCAGCACTTATAGAAGTTTTAAAAGCAGAGAATCCAAACTTATTTGGAGTTTTATAGTACACACTATTCGATTTACATGTAGATACGTAGATAAGTGTTATAGTCTCGGGACTTACGCGCCCCTTTTTACCAGAGAAATAATAATAAAAAAAAAAGCTAAATGTTTTACTCCCTGGGAGCTGGCTCGCTAACCCGAAGATCTTGAAGATTAGGTGTTCGATTCTATGGTGTTGGCCTAGAAAGTCATCGGGGATTTTCGTCGTGGTTCCCCCTTGTCAGTGTCTGGCAAGGGACAACGTATAAAACCGAGGTCCAGTGTACATATTGGTGTAAAGGAAAAAGAACCGTTGACAGTTGGAATTCGATATGAGAGTAAGGTTCCTGGACATTAGCGTTACATACCCTTATTTCGAATTCCAACTATCAAGGGTTCGTTTACGTGCATGCCAATGTGTACACGGGACCTCGATTTTTCGTCCCATCCGAACAACTATGCTGTTTACTTTCAAATGCCAGGCCCTCCATCCTGCATCCTGAACCAGGGACAAGGGGGGGGGGGACGCCGATGAACTTTCTCAGCCAACACGGAACACGGGACCTTCGGGTAAATGAGCCAACATTTAACTCATGGAGCCCCTGTAGTTCCCCATATCCGCCTTGTAGATTGAGAAGTGCTGTTATATATAGTTTTGTGTTTAGAAGTTTCATATGTTGTAAACTGAAGGAAACAATCGTAATCTTATGTACCCTTTGCTACTGTCCTTGTTCCTGTTGGCACCAAAAGCTAATTAATAATTATATACTTTGTGAGAAGTAACAGTACACCGATTGTCATAAATGTTGATTTGTATCTGTATCGGTTAGAAGCTAATAGATAGATCACTTATTGGGCGTCGATTTCTAACCTAAAGCGGAAATGATATCAATGATGTCGTGTAAAAAATACTCATTGAATCTTGTATTGTATTATTTCAATGACAAAGTACCAGACAACAAAATTGTACCGGAAGTAATACTGATATACATGGATTGGGAATTAAAACCAAAAGTGGTAAATATAATCACTGATATCGTATATAAAGTAATTGATAAAAGTTACAATCATACTTTTGCCACGAAAAGGCGATAGATATTTCAACAAACTATACTAGAGAAATATTGCCATCTCAAATTATTTTTAAAATTAAAGATGCTTATGAAAGAGCTGAATCTGTCTATTGTATTTCTTTATTATTTAAACATTTATTTACACGACATAATCAACTCTCTAGGCATTGGATGGTTTAGATATTAAATGGATTATATAATTTAACGATAGTATGGCTAATCGAGGCATTGTTTATTATTATAGCAATGGTATTCGACAACTGGACTACCATGTCAAAACTTAAACATTCATAACTTTACTCAATAGATTTATTTCTCATTATCTATATTTATACTATTATAGCAAGAACAGTCCGCTTTTTTATACGCCCAGTTATCATCCGATTGAACCTCAGATTGATACACAGGATTTAAGGTCTTGAGAAGAACAAGTATATTGATTTTCAATGAATTTTGATAATTTGAACAGCTAAATCCATGATATTAAATGTTTCGTATACTAAACGTTAGCATGGGGCAGAACTTTATAAAAACCATATAAATTCTAATGATTTTATGATAATTACTTAATGAGTTGTTACTCTTAATCAGATTTTAGTGTATTATAAATGTTTCATTACCGAAAAAATTAAAAATATGTGATAACTCTTGTTGACTGGCCGGACGATTTGGCTGCTGTGGGCGTATGTTTCGCTGCCTGGCAGCCTATCTTTTATCTAAATCTTACATAAATACATCTTTAATGAGAATGCCAAGAATTTATACACATTTAATTATTATTTATGTTTATGAATAATAGAAAACAGTATTTGGGGAGATGTTGCTAAGATGAAAGATCAAATTAATGTGAAGTATAATAAACTAGAAGAATTATTTGCTTTAAAATCATCAAATCAGCTGGAACCCACCCACCCTAATGAAAAAGCTCTTAAAAGACATTCAGCATCGCTAGAGGTTTGTATTGATTTTATTTTTATATAGCTTTATTAATAAAATAACAAAAAAAAGATAACTTTATTATTACTCTCAAATATAATTTTAAATCAATTTCTTTTTAACGTTGACATCTTATTTCTGAATGTATTAATTTATCACCAGGACAAAGTTGCCCGGGTGGCGCTCGTGTGGCTCTATCTCTACTGTTTTCTATAATATGTTTCAGTTTTGTTTCGACATATTGTTTTAACTTTCTTGGAACTGGGTTTTTATTTGTGTTTTCTCTATTATATTGGTTTTTTTGTCCCTGTCTTGTGGCACAGTTATCCTGCATTGTCTATTAATTTGCAGAACCTGTAAGATTGATGCATGTTCTCTATGTTTTAGTATTCACATTGACAAGTTTATCACAATAGTGTAAGACCCGTTTTTAGCTATTTACGCTTCCCAATTAAATGAAAAGTGATATCAAGCTACTTGATAACCTTGTTATTTTCAGAAGATAAATCCTTTGTTAATTTTAGAAAGTAAATCGTTTGTTGATTTCAGATCGCCTTACTGGATCCTAAGCGAAGTATGATTGTGAATATATTTCTAAAACAGTTTCGAAATGCCAATGCTAGTATTATAGATTTAATACGTAAATGTGATAGTCGAAGTCTGGGCACGGAGAAGATCAAAGGTTTATTAAAGATTATGCCAACTCAAGAAGAGGTAAGCTGAACTATTCTAATGGAATTGTCAATTATTACATATTTAACAAAGTAATAGTGTACTAGGCTTTCATTATCCGGCAATGGTGACTTTAAAATTTTAAAGGGACATCATCAGCTTCACCAACAAAACGAATTATCCCGTATTTGGAATATCTCGAATCACAAATATATCGTGACTTAGATATCTAAAATCCCGAATATATTGTGTTTTAGATATCTCGAATCCCCAACATATCGTGTCTTAGATATCTGATTTCTTGAATATCTTGCATTTTGAATAACTTGTTTTTCGAATATTTTGTATATCCGTAAAGAACAAATAATTGCAGTTCAATCTCGAATGTCTCGAATCTCGCTAGTCCTAAACATATGTATTTTGAATATCTCGTTTCTTGAATATTGAGCCAGAAATTCCGGTAGAATCGAATTATTTTGTCGATTGGCAGCTTTTGCTTTCAGTTTTATATAGCTCCAAAAATTAACACCGTGAAAGATGAAACTAAGGCTTTAGCATTCACATGGCACGGTTGCTGATATTGTCGCAAGTCCTTGAATATCATTTAGACCTTTTAATTCGAATATTTGAATATATTTCAGTTCTTTTAACTTAAATAGTGCATTATTATAAGACTATGGTCTAAGCAGAAAAGTAGGACATTAAGCCCAATTTCATTTTTTAAGACGACGCTTATTTTTGTATTTTCTTTCTAGGTTGAACTGATCTCTAATTTTGATGGCGACATCGATAAGTTAGGTGATGCAGAGAAATTTTACAAAGATCTAATTCAAATACCTAATTATAATATTAGAATAGAGGGCATGAATCTAAAAAGTGACTTTAATTCTCAGATGGCCGTAATACGACCCAATATACAATTACTCAATTCTGTCTGTAGGCAAATACTCAACAGTGACTCGCTCAAGATGTTCCTCAGATTTGTATTACATGCGGGTAATTTTATAAATAAAGTAAGTAAGATTATTGTATTTAAACTTTTCATGTTCAGTAGACGTGTAACCTTTCCTATACCACTTTATTATCCAAGGACAAGCCCCCCCCCCCCCGATATGACTGAACACCACAATTGCAGTTCGATATAAAGAGTTTACTTATAGCTTTAACTTTCTTGGTTACAAAGACACCTTGACTATAACATTTAACTGAGTTGGCATGTTGTAACGTCCCCGGCTATAACGCTAAGTACTACTACATTGCATATTAGCCAAGTACCAACGGAAACGTTGTATACAGAGTTCACTGTATATCCAATTTATTGTTGGCTATTTAGAATTTATGAATGAACATTTTACTAAAGGAAGGGAGTGACCTGGAATTCAAACAGGAAGAGGGTTGTACTATTTAACTATAATTACACATAATAATATATTGATTCATTGACCAAATGATTAACTAACTGTTAATGAACTATTTCCCGGGTCTTAAAACAGTTTTATGTTTGCCTATTTCAGGGAAGTACATCCGGAAGTGCCTATGGATTTAGAATCAACTCATTATGTAAATTAGCAATGGTGAAGTCCAATGTTCCACGATTTTCTTTATTACATCACCTTGTGGAAGAGGCGTTAATTCAAAACAAGAACGCTCTACGTTTTGTTGACGAGCTTCTAGAAGCGTTACAGAAGGCCTCTAAGTAAGCAGTTTATAGTATTTACATCCCACTTCTACTCGTTGCCACTGGCAACCTTTGATGAAACCGTCCTGTTTATTTGCAGTACATGCAGAAAAGTCTATTTTTCACATTTTGCTTCACAATACTCGATAGAAATGTGATGTAAGTAACTTATTAGCACCTTTCCTCGGTGTATCGGTGAATATCAGAACAGTTTTGGTCGGGAGCCGCCTCGGCTCCGCCTCGGCTGGGCCCCTCGACCAAAACTGTCCTGATATTCACCGATACACCTCGGAAAGGGTGCTAATAACTACTACATAATACCTAGCCTAGATTGCGACTAGTTGTTCAACTATTTTGCCAGAGAGGAGTTTCAAGCGAGTTTGAAATGAACTAAAGATAATACTTAGCCACAGCTTTGTACGTAACCAGGGCCTGTGGTACGTGATCCATGGACCCTATTCTTGAAAGATATCCCCAATTATTCTCCTTCAACAATCAGTATGCAGTCCACTTAATATTTTCTAGATTTTGCCTTTCGTTTTACGAATTATTTATGTTGTTTTTGATTACCCCTTACGCCAACCGGGCATCTGAAGACGGACATATGAGCTGCTAAGGATAAAACGTTGACTTTCAAGTGTCAGTGGATGTTTTTAATGTGCTGTCAGTGGGCCTCGTTTTTTATTAACTCACCCTTCGTTCTGTGGCACCGACAAAAGAAACCTAAGGTGGAAAATTACGAAGAACTTTCTCGGCCAACAGCAGGATAGAACCCGGTACAACTTTAGTGAGCCAGTGCCATTCTCACCCATTACAAGATGAAATATATTAGGGTATTGATGATAGTTGCCAAGTTACTAAGTTACTGTTCGGACCGCACCGCTGGTTGCCAAGTTACTGTTCAGATCGCACCGCGTCACATATTTTAAGGACCTTTTTATATTCCCCTTCTAAAATTTTTGATGACGGAGTTTTTTCAACTACATAAATAAAATCGCAATTAAAATAACACGGGTCTAAAATACATAGAAATGAAAACACAACGTTTGAAGCTAGTTTGAGCAGTTTGTATACTTTTATTTATTTCATGATTTGTTGATCTTTTAGATTTACACTATCTAATACCAAAGGTGAGTTTTTACAACTCAGACAAAATGTTGATAAATTTGAACATCAGATGTCGTCGGTAGAACCTGGTTTGAAAACACATTTTTCTGAATTTTTGGAGGTAAATGTTTAATATTTGTTATCAATTAACAGCAAATAACATCGGAGAAAAGGTAATTAAATAGGAATGAGCATCTCTATTCTCAGTGGGTCAGTGAGTAAGGCTGACCGAGAACATTCCCCGGAATTTTCCATCGTGGTTTCGTCATGGCTGTGGTGCCGTACGGAGGCCTGTCAAGCGTTTAGCTAATATGATGACATGCACATATAACATAACTCCCGACAATTTGAACTCATTTGCTGTCCGAGTAAAATTTCCCTAATATCCCGGTTGGTGCAGAAAAGTAGGATGTTAATCCCCATTTCACCCACTTATTCTATTCTCAGACAAACACCGCTGCTCTGGAAAACTTAAATTCTCCACTGGATATCAGAGGTCATGGTTACCACGCTCCCCCACCCTCGAGACATTTATAAGATATGACTGTTGCTGTTGGTAATTATCCCCTTTCAGTGAAATTAGGGATAATGAAAAGGGCTCTTTCTGTTATCATTCGACCCATAGTATTGTTTACATCGCATAAAATTACCTCTAATCCTCTAGAATTAATTCGCTCGTTCCCAACCACTTCCTCCTCATATACAACAGATTTGAGATATTTTTGTGCACCTTAGATAATGTCTGTCATTGAGTCAATTATCTTGGTTTCACACCCCGCTATGTCCAGTAGGTGGCAAGGAGTAAGGTCGCCTACCTAACTTCGTGAGTTTTCTTGGGAATCTTTGTTTTCATTCCACAGCAAAATATCTCCTACATGCAAACAAATTATTGAAATAAATTGTACCACGTGTTTATTCAAAAATGAGCTATTATTATTTGTTTTGTTTACTAGGAAGCTGAGAATGATATATCGGACGTAGATGAAGGATTTGATAGGTTAGATAATTTATCTGAAAAACTGAGAGATCATTTCTGTGAGAACACTCCTTTTAATCTCAACGACTTTCTACTTTCTTTTCTGGAATTTACAGAAAAAGTCAAATTATGTGAACAGGTAAGACATTGTTATCTCCCCTGATTTTTGTCTTGAATTTTGAAATGGAAATAATTTTACGTGGACAGTGCGGTGAAATATAAACTTACTAGGTAAAGGGGACGTGGGTGTCCGTGGGTGCTAGCCAGTTGGTATAGACTATGTCACAAAGACATCTGATAGTAACGTGATGTTTCAAACGGAGTCCTGATGACCAACATTACTGCTTAGCAAAAGGTAAACAATAACAATCGTTTGTCAAATCGAAAATTATGGAACACCTCGAAAGGGCCAATTCTTCTTCAATATTCAAAATTCATATAGGGTTTTCATGTATAGGTTATAGCATAATTAAATGATTCATATTGTTTTTTACCCAGGAAGTGGAGGCTCGACGGCAACAGGAAAAGAAAGTGGCTTTAAGACAGAAAACAATGGAAGAAATAGCATTAAAAAGAAAAAGTAAGCAATTTTCAATTATTTGTCGGTTTACAAAATGTGACATTTTATGGTCTCGAAATGCCCGAATGGACCCAGTAAGTATTTTCGATAAATTTTTAAATGTACCCTCTCGTTTGTGGTTAACAATAAAGAAATATCAAGATTACCATTTCTGAACAATACCTTTTTAGACAAGTGTCCGATTCAATGATCCTGATCAGATAACTCCCCGGGACGTTATTTGACAACCAAGGCTACTATATTGCAGGATCGCCATTTGAACTAGGCCCGTCATGTGACAGCAAGTCATTCGCGTTGATCATGAAATGGCTTGTGACCAGCTTGTGGGTAACTTTTACTTTACGCTTTGACAGCTGAAACTGGCATGATTCTAAAGACCAATGAAGTAATTTCACTAATTTGATTAAATTTACTGTTTCAGGTGGTACCGGTCTTCACCAAGCTATTAACAACTCTGCTGGGGCACCGGAGGCCAAAACCAAGATTGTTGATAATATAGTGAATGAAATAAAGAAAGGAAAGGTGCTTAGACGGTTATCTTTAAAACGTAAAAACAGATTGGCTGTACAGGCTATTGAAACGGCTCATTTATAAGCGACACAATATAAAGATATTAATATTATATTTTTACTAGATCTATATATTTATAACTGAAAATACACCCTAACTTCTCAAAAGGGAAATATATGTGAATAGAAAACCAATTCCATGTTTGAAACACAAGTTCATATTTATTGTATTAGATAAGAATTTTAAACCATTAATTTATTCTCTTCTGGGTAATAGTTTTGTGACATATGTAGTCTTTAGGATTTGTTATTTTATCTGGATAGTGTCTCAATTTTGGGAATAGACCAAGCTATTTTTCTCTGTTGTCGTATAAATGTGGCTCAATAATACAATCCCAATAGTGTCATAATGTCCGTGACATTACAGTCTTTGAAAAACTATTGTAATTGTGAGAAAACATCAAATCATCTTAGATAGTTCAAAATATGTTTGTTTTTTTTTAAAAAAAAAACAAACCCAAAAGACTGACGTCCAAAAGAAACGACGCCACGAATTTGAGATACTGTTGAATCAACTTGCTGTATGTGTAAGTACATCTATGTTTCTTGTGGACCTCATTATAGTTGTACGCCCGGATATGATCACATACGACTAAAAAAGAACCAGTCGCAATGTTTTTAAAAATGTCTCCTATACAGTGGCTGCACTGTGAATGTCTTAATAACACCACTTTTTTCGGCGTTAAAGGACCAGCACTCTCATTTAGTATTTTTTATTTTATTTAAACGGGATCTCGAACGGTTCCTCTTCTACACAGTACCGATTCGTTCCCCAATTAGGTAGATAATATTTTAGTATCTTTGTAATTATTTTGTTAAATATTTTGTTACTGTAATATCCGTGTAAGATAAATAAACTGATATTTTCATGTTTAGACTTATCTATATATATATATATATACAACCATATTTCCAAACCGTCTTCTTAAATTAAAACTAAACTTGATCTACACTATTATAAACTGACAACAATGCGATGGGGTTTTAAAAAAAAACAAACCCAAAAGACTGACGTCCAAAAGAAACGACGCCACGAATTTGAGATACTGTTGAATCAACTTGCTGTATGTGTAAGTACATCTATGTTTCTTGTGGACCTCATTATAGTTGTACGCCCGGATATGATCACATACGACTAAAAAAGAACCAGTCGCAATGTTTTTAAAAATGTCTCCTATACAGTGGCTGCACTGTGAATGTCTTAATAACACCACTTTTTTCGGCGTTAAAGGACCAGCACTCTCATTTAGTATTTTTTATTTTATTTAAACGGGATCTCGAACGGTTCCTCTTCTACACAGTACCGATTCGTTCCCCAATTAGGTAGATAATATTTTAGTATCTTTGTAATTATTTTGTTAAATATTTTGTTACTGTAATATCCGTGTAAGATAAATAAACTGATATTTTCATGTTTAGACTTATCTATATATATATATATATACAACCATATTTCCAAACCGTCTTCTTAAATTAAAACTAAACTTGATCTACACTATTATAAACTGACAACAATGCGATGGGGTTTTACGTCAGGAGGGACGGCGGGAAGAAAGTTGCCGGTACAATTGTGTTCGCGTCTTAAGGGGGCTTATATCGCCCTTGCAATGCGACTTTGTGCGATTAGATTTGGTGGTCCGGTACGACTGTGAAAAAAGCCTGTGAAAAAAGCCAGTTTGCACATGTTCTACATTCCAGCGATCTTTTGCTACTAGTTGACAGTTATGATCGACGACGTTATCGAAGAGCGTTTGATAGTCCTTAAAGGCATATCGTTATCGTGTTTCGAAAAAAAACCCTAAAATCCAGTGAACAACGATATTATGTTTTGCCTCCTTCATCAAGGCGCCTCATAACAAATAAAACTCCAGAGCATAGTCTACGAATAATAGTCTGGATGGTTTAACTATCAACATTTAAAAAATAAAAACTAGGCCATTGGCTAGATTATTTGGTCTTTTAGGTAATCATGTACAAAATCTATTTTTTTCAGAGTTTAATAACCTAAAACAAGACGCCGACGCCCATGAAATTAATTTAAAGGACAATATTGGCGCCACTCATTATCACGTGATAGAACTGGTTAAACACGTTCCAAATATTTATTTTTTCACAGAGATCATTGCTACGATAGATGCGTAATCAATGCTTCATCAATCGGAAGTGACGAAGGCAAAAGGAAAACACGAGTTATCCCTCTGTATAAGACTGATGTAATGAGTGATTTTGTGTTCAACATTTCGATAGTTTCACTCACTAACAGACTTCACACGGTAAACAAGACCATTTACGACTTAATCTTTCTTTTCGCTTACGGAATAAAACATGAGATCAACCCAATTTAACACTTATTTTGAACTAAATCAAAATCTAAAATGACACTTGGGGCAATCATTTAGAATATAGTAGTAAAAACAACTAGGCTTGGACAATTAAATTTACAATGTTGCTTTCTCGTTCACCATACAACTGAACTGAGCATTAAAATTCAGTACTGAATAGACACTGAAATTATAGAACAGACTGCTGTGAATATCATTTCATCTGAACTATTGATAAAATAAATAAACAAGCCAACAGTGAGGCTGATGTCCCCCGCCGAAATCCCAAAATAAATAGATGACACATGTTAATTAATCGCAAATTTATGTTTTTTCAAATGTATCAAGCAATCAAACTGATTATAAACTATACAGTAAGTTTTATCACCCTCTATCAGATAGAATCAAAGTTATCTTATCTTGTCCCAAAGCATCGACCATTGAAATTGCTTAGCTCTGCTTAGCTTTAACTCGAAATGTTAATCATTGATGTCAAGACATTCACCTAATGAACATCTACACCAAGTTTAACCATTCTACCTCAATTAAAAGCAGAGTTGTTATGTTCAAAAGTCTTGACCAATCAAATTGCTTATCGCTCCATGGGATAAGCAGAAAATTCTCATCATCGAAATTAGTCTAGGTAATAATATGATAAAACTATATACCAAGTGTCCTCACTCTCACTTAATTAGAACTAAAGTTATCGTGTCCTAAAGCATCAACCAATCAAATTGCTTGTCTCTGCTTACCCTAAGCAGAAAAGGCATTCATCTAATAAACACCTACGCCAAGTATGAACATTATTCCTCAATTAGAATAAGAGTAATTGTTCTGCTCCTAAACTGGGCTAATGAAGACGGGCATACGCCATACAGTGTGCTATGAGGGAAAGTTTGCCCGGGCAGCGGCGCTACAGCCTACTCTTATATCGAATTTCAACTGCCAAGGGATCTTTTACGTGCACGCCAATATGTACACAGGACCTCGGTTTTTCGTCCCATCCGAACGACTAGACAGCTGTCCTTGTCAGGCCCTCCGTCTACATCACTGAAAAGCGGAAACCACGCCCGAAAATCTGGATGAACTTTCTCAGTCAATGCAGGGGACCAGCGTCTTACTCACGTGATCCCCCAGATCGTGAAGGAAAGTTATGCAGTAAATCGGCTCACAGTCCACTAAAGATCGCAGGCTAGTGATGCCATCTAGAGTTGATTATGGTCTGGATAGGTTAATTTATGTCTCCGGCCTAAAGAAAGACCTGCAATAGATAGAACAAGCCAACAGTGAGGCTGATGTCCCCCGCCGAAATCCCCAAATAAATAGATGACGCATATTAATTAATCGCACATCTATTTTTTTTCAAAAGTATCCAGCAATCAAACTGATTATAAACTATACACTAAGTTTCATCACTCTCTATCAGTAGAATCAAAGTTATCTTGTCCCAAAGCATCGACCAAGGAAATTGCTTATCTCTTCTTAGCTTTAGCTCGATATGTTAATCATTGAACTAAGTCAAGATGAACATCTACATCAAGTTTAAACATTCTACCTCAATTAGAAGAAGAGTTGTTATGTACCAAAGTCTTAACCAATCAAAATGCTTATTGCCCCTTAGCCTAAGCTGAAAATTCTCATCATCGAACTTAGTCAGGGTATTGATGTAATGAAACTATACACCAAGTTTCATCACTCTCACTTAATTAGAACTATAGTTATCGTGTCCCAAAGTATCAACCAATCAAATTGCTTATCTCTGCTTACCCTAAGCAGAAAATGCTCATCTTCACACTCCATCAAGGCATTGACCTAATAAACACCTACACCAAGTTTGAACATTCTAGCTCAATTAGCAGGAGAGTTATTGTGTTCCAAAGTCTCGGCCAATCAAATTGCTTATCGCTCTGCTTACTCTGAGCAGAAAATACTCATTGTCGAACTTAGTCAAGGTATTGATGTAATGAAACTATACACCAAGTTTCATCACTCTTACGTAATTCGAACTAAAGTTATCGTGTCCCAAAGCATCAACCAATCAAATTGCTTATCTCTGCTTACCCTAAACCGAAAATGCTCATCTTCGAACTCCATCAAGGCATTGACCTAATAAACACCTACACCAAGTTTGAACATTCTAGGTCAATTAGAAGGAGAGTTATTGTGTCCCAAAAAGTGTGACGGACAGACCCATTTTAATAGTCCCCTGCTTTCTTCGAAAGGCGGGGGACAATTAGCTCTTGCATAATTTATGTTTAATTACAACTAAAGTTATTGTGTCCCAAAGCATCAACCAATCAAATTGCTCACCTGTGCTTACCCTACGAATAAAATGCTCATCTTCGAACACCATCAAGGCACTGACTTAATAAACACCTACACTAAGTTTGAACATTCTAGCTCAATTCGAAGGAGAATTATTGAGTTCCAAATTCTCGGCCAATCAAATTGCTTATCGCTCTGCTTACCCGGAGCTGAAGGTATTGATGTAATGAAACTATACACCAAGCACTTAAAATATTCACAAAAATTGTATCATTTTTCACTGGAAAAGTCTACATAATAGAACTGGTGAATTGTCTCAGTTATCCAGGTCTGTGATACCTGGTTGACAGAGGCAAAATTACCTGCCTTAGTTTGAGGGTTTCCAAATTATAGTGGGGGTACTCGATTGAATGTTCCGGAACTGAATTCTCTCAATCCCAAAAATAGTGACAATCGAGTGAAAAGGTGGATTTCTGGCTGAATCAGTAAATATCTCAACCAACCATGCAGCCGATACATTTTAATTACGTCACGATTCTACTCACACCAAATCCCTTGTCGGGACTGACAAGAACCGTGACAGAACCGAATTCCGCGTTACTCGATTGCAATTCTGTCAATTCGGGACGTTCTGGACTGTGAATCGAGCATATATGAGTAGGAATATTTGTAACATTGGGGATGCTCGATTCACAGTCCAGAACGTCCCGAATTGTAATCGAGTAACGCGGAATTCAGTTCTGTCAGTCCCGACAACGGAGGTGGTGTGAATAGAATCGTGACGTAATTAAAAGGTTTAGGCTGCATGGTTGGTTAAGATATTAACTTATTCTGTCGACGCATGCGTTGTAGCCCGAAATCCGCCTTTTCACTCGATTGTCACTATTTTTGGGATTGAAGGAATTCAATTCCGGAACGTTCAATCGAGTACCTCCATGGTGCTTGTCTACAATATCACCTATGGTGCAAGTGGACATATAACTTTAGGAACACACGCACGCACAACATGGTAGGGTTGTGTATAGATGCCATGTAGTTTTATTTTAGCATATTTTAAATGGAATTATCACTGTAACAGAACTAATAAATAACTTTGTATTGAGATCGACTATCGAATTTTTACAAAGGTTACAAAATGGCCGTTTAAATCCGATAGAAATCTTGTTATCTGTTGTATGTTAGGCGTTCTAAATATCCATCATAATAATTATTACGTTACATTACATTGCATTAAGTCGAATTTATGTTGACCTAACAAATGGTAGTTAGTCAGATGACTTAAAACTGAAGTCTAATGTCCACCGCCGAAATCCCAAAATAATTGATGACACATATTAATTAATTTAACATTTTCAAAAAGTAATGAGTAATCAAACAGATTATCTACATGTATGATTAGTCTAAGCATAAAATGTTCAAGTCAAGGTTTTGAAGTACCTGGTAGGCAAACATCACTCTCCATAAGTTAGAATAAAAGTTAACGTGACCCAAAGCATCAACCAATGAAATGGCTTATCTCTGTTTAGCTCTAGTGGATTATGTTAATCATTGATCTCAGTCAAGACATTCACCTAATGAACATCTATCTCAAGTTATATCCCACATTTGCATATAAACGTTGATGCTGTATGAAAGTTGCTATGTAGAAAGCCTGAAGGACAAATGGGATGTGGCAGAGCGCAAATGTAAAATGTAATGACAGAAATGTAAAATGCAGACACGTCAAAAAAATAAAAAAAAGCATTTTCCCACAAAACATTTGTCATTTAACACTTAAAGATACATTAGTTAAGAGTTTAATAAAAAAGTTGGTCATTCTTGCTATACTAATT